TGGATAGCAATAAATTATCGAATGAATAAATCGATGAATAGTTCAGTCAGTCTTTTAAATTTAATTTTTAAAAACATTTGTCTAACTTTATAAACTTAGAAGTTGTTGATTGTTTTCTTTTTCCATGCATTCAATATTTTATAACTTAACAAAGTTCACATTCAAAAGATCATTCGTATGATATATCGCAGCTAAGAAAAAACATTTCTGCTAATTCTTGAAATTTCTTTGGAATTTAAAAATTTCATTTCTTTTTTTCATGAGAACTTTTATAGATTGTACTTAATTATTGGTAATGATGATGGATCGCAAAAAATAATCAAATTTGACATATCCTCTATTCATTCAAAAATAACCTTTACTGAACTCACTGATCCAAATTTTATATGAAAATTCAACAAATGTGAATTGAATTCAAATTTCAATTTAATCAATCAAATTATTTTATTTGAGATTTTAAGGTTTGATTTCTCTTGTAATATTGATTGTTTTTTTGCTTCGATATTTCATTCCATTTATTCAGTCTTTATCTACGAAGAGAGCAATTCTTTGAAGTATTAAATACGAAATAATGGGAGGAAGAAAGTGGCGCAATTGAAACAAAAGGCAAAATTAACGAGTTTGATGGTTAATGAGTTATCGTCCGACATATTTCCCAAATATATGTAAATGAAGAAAGTACGGATGACATTGTCTTCGTAATAAGTAATCTTTTTCATCTTTCATATCATTGCACATTTTAATTCTATTCGTTTTACATGCCTTTTCTAACATTTAGCATAATACATAAATGTGAAATAAGCCTTAATATTATAGGCATCATTTACTTGTTTACACCTTAATGAGCCTTAACATCATAGGTAACACTTTCTGTGTGACATTCATCACATTTGTTTTACGTGTCAGGGAAGAGAATCGGTGTAACTTCACTTTTCCGTGTGTTAATATTTATCATTTTTATATTGATAATAAAATAGAAGAAGTTAGATTGATTGAAATTTGTTTCTTCATTTACGAAATTTGCAAAAATTTCATTGTGCTCAAAAAATAATTTTAAAATGGTATGGCGAAACTACTTTTTTTAAGGATTAGAAATCTGTTAACTTTTATTCTTGCATCATACAAAATTACAAATTTTGCAGGTTAATTATTTCAAGTATTGTTAACTTTGATATTCTTTGGCTTTGATGTTAGCTGAAATGAAATGTTAGCTTCAGCAATTTAGCAAATGACCAGCTATAGTTTGAAATAAAACATACTGCGTCACAATCTTTATTGCGACAGACTTTTCAAGTAGGAATGCATTTACAAATTAAACTCAAGTGTTTCCAAACATTTTCAACATTTTTGCAAAAATTTTTTAAAATTTATTTGGAGTGATTCAACAGAAATGTTTAATTAACAATAATTATATGCAGATTTCAGAAATAAAAAGACCGTACTTGAAATGGACGATGCGAGAAATTCTTTTTCCTATTAGATGATTCAGCAAATATAAATTGATCATAGTCTTTTATGAATTCACGTACGTCATCCTTTTTTTTGACGCATCCAGCTAATGCGAAACAGTGCAGCAATGTACGATGCACGTAAAGATATTGCTGTAAAGATGACATGTTTGTATAGGTGACAGGTAGAACTACTATACGTGCAAATGATTGTTTCATTTGTTAAGCATAACATATTAACAAAAACTTATTATTTGAATGCAGTTTTTTTATGCTAATTAATCCTCCGTTTTTTTTCTCTTTTTTTTTGAGTAAATTAAATGGGACTATTATAAAGTGAATAAGTAAGAAGTGTATAGTTAAATTATTCAATAGTAATAACAAATGTCAAGAAGATTATTATTTTCCTATTCCAGAAAAAAAGCTTCAAGTATTTTAATTAAAAATAAAATTGGATGTACTAAAATTACAATGTAAAAAAATTATAAATCTGAAAAAAAATATAACCTGAAATATAAATTGAAAGTTTGTATAAAAGAAATGATAGAAAAAGAAAGAATTTACTGAAATTACTTAATATAAACATGCCATTTACCATGATTAAATATTTTACGAAATATATGAATAAAGTACGTACAATACTATTCTGAATTAAATTAGCACGTTGTTTTCGTAATTCAGCAAGTATGAAACCCATATCAGTACAAGTTTGCTTGCATAGTAATTTCTCGAGAACTAATTCGATCAGTACAATACAACCGGTCCGTCCAATACCAGCAGAGCAATGTAGTACTATTGGCGTTAATGACACTCGTACCTGTTAATTAACAACTAATTTCAGACTTTATTTTATATCTAGCATCAGAAACATCAGATTTTTTAATCTAACATCAAAGGATTTTATTTCGATAAGGAAAAAAAATGAGTAATAAATACGATTTCTGTAATGTAAGATCAGAAGTTTTCAGAATATACATGTAATAATATTTTTAAGATTAATTTTAAATTTAAAATTTTTTGAATTCGATTCGAATTTAATTCGTCCATTGCTCTTTTTCATGTGGTTTTAATTAAACTCACTTTTAATTAATCTTTTCTTTGTTATAATTAAGGCTCAGTCTTAATAGCTTTATGACTAAAAATATTTTAACATACTTAAAAAAGAAGCGCGAAAAGAATTTACCACTTCAAGAAGATGTAACGGACAAGAGTAACTATTTGGTATGCCATGATCAGGCCAATCAGTCCAATGGAAATGTGTCACAATCATCGAGTTCCTACCTGGCAATTGAACCATCAACGATCGTTCCCACACTTCACCTTCAAAATCCATGCGACGGTCACACTGAAATTTTTCATAATTGATAGAAAATGTTTGGGAAAAGGTTGATGCACGATATTAAATGACCAAAAAAAAAGGCCATTACAGATAAGGAGAGATCGAAATATTCAAGTATTCAACAAAATTCATTCATATAAATTGAAATTTTCAATTGTAAAACTTACTGCAAGACATTTCACCATGATACCGTGGTAGTTAACGATTTTATTAACTTCATAGGGAAAGTATGGTGTCGATTTGATGTAACCTTTCTCAATAAAATTTGTCAACATAATAATGTATTTCACTTTTTCTTGCATAATCATGAACCAAAAATCATAAATGGTACAATCTAAAGGAGCCTGAAATTAGTGCTTTGAACTTTCCGACTCAATTGAATCTAATCAAAAATTATGTTCAAATTCTCAAATCCACAAAACTTCCGTTCATTCCAATATATTTTTACTGATAATGCATCAGTGAACTTCAGTCTAAAATTGTCAAATTCGTAAAAAATTTTGATTTAAATATAAATTTTTAATTTTGTTTGCACCACTGTCCTAATATTGCTATAAGAGACAGATGACAGATTATTGATTAAAAGGTTGTAAAGGAATGAGTGACCTGAGTACAGATGAAACGATGTGCTGAAAAAGGTGTACTGACGTAGTTGGCGTGAATATAATCGTTACCGGACGGATGATTGTTAAGTTTTACACGCGAATGGTTCAAACAAACTACATTCCGATAACGATTCCGGCCTTAACAAAATTTTTATACTTGAAAAACTTGAAAAACTGAAGAGTTCAGAGAAATTCTGGCTTTCAGAATCACAGACAAAGGTTTAAATATGGCCAGAATTAATTGAAATTTCATGAATCAGCAATAAAAATGAAACATTCCAGCTCGAGTAAATATTTGAATTACTTTTATACTCAATACTTTAAGGTAATAATACAGGACGATGACACAGATATTCCTACCGGAATTTTGATTAGCAGTGAAAATGCTATAATTGGTCGCTGATGGCTTTGTTGTGAAGGATAATGCTATGAATTCATCATTTAGACCTTTTACACCTTTGCTAAGCATAACTTCGACCCATTCTTCCACCTCAAATTGATGATTGAAAAATGCGACACAGGAAGGTAAGAGTTCAAATGTCACTCTATCTATAGTATCTTGAAGAGTTGTACATCAAATCTGTATAAGGCTATTGTTACAAAATCAATCAAATAAGCACTTATGACTTTGATCTAAGAGATCTGTTAATCCATTATTTTTAACCTTTAACCGTTTGATGAATAAATTGTGTAAAGTTTTATTCAATAAATAACTAATAAAAATGAATTAACTAACCAAATCATCAATGCTGAATTCCTCAGACAATACGATATTTTCACATCTTTCTTCTAAATCTTCCTCTTCACTTTCGGTTCTCGATTTTTTCATTATTTCATCCCTAACTCGTCTCGATTTTGGGATTCTGTAGGAATGAATATGCATTCAATCGCAATATCTGAGAAAATCATCCGTACATTCTATTTATTCATTACTTTCTCATTTTCCAATAATCTTTTAAATTAGCTATTTGAAGTACGTTTAAGTTTAATTACACCCAACTATATCATTACATCGATCTATTCAATATTTATTTAACAAACTTGAAGATTCACATAATTATTCATTCTAGTCATTTAATTTGTCCCCGTCATAAAAATATAAATGTTACACTTTTATATTTACTTAAACTCCATACTTATCAATCAACCTTACAAAATATTTGAACGACGGTGTGAATCAGCTTTGACTGATCGTTGTGAAAAATCATCACTGCCTTTCGAGGTAAAACTTTTTGACAATGTAAAATCGGAGCTCATCTTTGTCCCCAATTCATGCATTTTTGCTCCTCGCCGCTTAACATCCTTCAATAATCCTAATATGATTGTATATCCAAATAGGATAATGATAATCAAAGTGTTGCATATCTATAACATATTATCGCCATGAATTAAATGCTAACTTATCCTCCTCCCATTGTTGCATTTCAAAAATTATTGAATGATACTAATGCTTATTATAGATGATGCAAATAGATAAAATGAGTGAAGCCTTGAGAAACTACCCTTTTGCGCTTCCCATAGCACATCAGATCAAGCAACCAATTCTTACAATAGAAAAAAGATAACTATCACACTTCAGTTCATCAGTTTGACTTTTTGTATGAGGAGGATGTCAAAACTAATGATTCCCTGAAATATGCAAATTTCACCATCATGAATTACCATGCATCCACTATCAAGCTCGAAAAAAAATGCTCCTTACTAAATATGTCCCTCAATTGTATCCTTGAAACTGAAACCATTAATTAGTGTCCACGCTGTGTGTAAAATGCTAATTGATCTAAGACTTCCTTCATATAATTGCCTATACCAATAAAGTCTATAAAAGCACTGAGACAGAACCACAATAACTTCATCCAAGCATCCAGCTCTGTACAAATTCAAATGTCAGAAGATCGGTATAAGCCTAAAACTTAAAAACTCTTTCTATAAACGTTACTCTTGCTATATTGCGAAACCCCTCAACAGTAAAATTCATATTCTTTATCAAAGTTGTACAAAAATTACAGACAAGTTTTGAGAGCAAATAAAATTAAAGAACATAGGGAGTTAAAAAAAATCGCGTCCCATTGTAATGAGCGAAATGATGGAACCTGGAAAAAGATAACTTTAAATCTACCATATTCGGTTTTTGTGCGCTGTTACCGGAATTCGTTTACAAAACATTTTTCAGAAAATTAAATTTTAAAACAATTAAATCAGAAACTAACGACTAATGCTTTTAATGTGCGCTCGGAAAACAACGGAAAAAAAAAAACAATACTTGTCAAAATAAACCAATCAGAAATAAAAACCAAGAACAAGCTTTCGATAACGGAGATATTTTTAAATAAATACAGTGGAGAAAGCATTCCGAACTAAAAGTTCTCCTCAAATTATAGGATATTAAAAACCAGATAAAATATTACATAAGGAGAAAATAGTGCAAAATACATTTGGTGTGTAAATCAACAGATGAATTTTGCAATTCAAAAACAAACCGATGTGCAAGTAAGGGGACAACCAAAGACCATCGTCTCAGCGAGATCGTGCAACGACAATGAAGACGAAGACTTAATGAGAGTCGAGATGTCTTCAAGCAACGGCTTTTTTCCTATTAGGAATGATAAAAGGATAGGACATCTATTCCAGACAGTATGGACAGTTACGTGTTTTAGAGCTAAGGCTGAATAGAACAGTAACTACCATCCTATTGAAAAACCGCCTTCTTACAATTTCAACAGTTTTTTTGAAGCTAAAAACAAATTGCTCTTTGAATAAGAAAATCCGTGGTGATGAAAGTGAGATCGCTCAAAAACTAACAGCGCACTGACTTACCAATAAAGAGATGGAAGGTGAAGGTCAAGTGAAATAAAAATACGAATTGTACCTTACATCATTCACAACTTGCATCCAGAAACTGAATATTAACCCAAAGATAATTAACCTGATAATTAACCTAATGTTCGTGTCGCATTTCGGCATACCTAATGAACAAGAACAAAAAAAAAAAACAGTAAGAAAAAACTCTTCTGAGATCGTCGACGTAATGAAAAATAAGCACATAAACAGCCGTCATATTTCAAATTTCCACATATAAAGAACTAAATTAGATGTATAGAAATAGAACGAGAAAAGATTTCGTAAAAGTGAAATACACTGCAAACCCATAGGCTAAGAAATATTACATTCCATTCCTTAACAACTGACGCTTTTGAAATGGGAAACTCCATTCCAAAATGTGCGCAACTTCTTTAAATCTCTTCAGTGAAATCCTTTTCCATTCCATAACGATTTGTTCAATTTTTTAAAATATCACTGAGACGGCTGCAAAATAATATAAAATAATATAGCTATTTCCGCAACTTTTCAAATCAAAGAAATTTTTATACATTTGCTCCAGTTGAAATTTATGCGCAAAAAATCCTAACTATTGCAAATGAAATTTTCAGAATTCAAAAGATGTAGATCATGAGTATAAAATTCGACCAAATTATGCGAATCTTATTCCTCCTAAAGATGAACTACTTAGTGCCGTGATTATCCCCACTCTCGTGATATGAGAGACTTCATGAAGCTTCGGATGCTTCAAGTATGACATAGCAAAGTGGGAAATGAAACGATATCACACAGACGGTGTGTCTGCTCAATTTGACATCTTTTTCATTGATAAATTAATTGTTTTTCTTTTATCAGTCAGAATTACGCTTTGCCAGGCCTTGAACATAATTTCCGGAACAATCTGCAGCTTTATCTAGCAAAAAAACACAATTCTACTGGTTTTATTTAATCGACATAAAATGAAAGCTTACATCCACAGGAACAAATTCTAAACCAGAATCAGAACTCAATATCTTTCTTTGCTCCCATTCACCGTCACCATCACATTTATCTTCCTTACAAACTTTTTTTTCCATGGATTTATTATCTTCGGATTTCCTATCCGTTTTATCGCGGGACTCTTGCTCTTCGTGACTCCCAACCGAATCCGTATCTCTAAAACCACAATTTTTACCACTATCATTCACTGTCTAAAAAAGCTCACCATTACTTTAGGTTGAAAAGATGTGTTTTAAAATCACTATCATTACGAACTGAAAAGGTTAAACAAACTTCGCAGGGGACGATCTTCCTGATAAACTTTCTTGTATAGTTTCGAAAATCTGTGAGCTACGACAATCTGGATAATTATTGGCACACACTTGTCCTTCATGGCTAACACGTGGTGGACTGACATGGAAATCCGACGCATTTGCCGGATCTCTTACAACATAATCGTCTGCTTCATCAAATTCATTTGGTATACACACTGAGCTATTGACTGAAATTGGCTATTGACTTTTAAAAAAATATATTAATGTGAATTCGGTCTGTACTATGTAGGGAACTTTTCTTACAAATACCTACGAAAGATATAGCATATTAAGGAATAATTGAAAATACTATTACGTAACACTCATCACTATCCATCAGACCTTCATAATTTTGCCTTTAATAATTCTACTTTTTTAGTATACGACTAAAATAATGTCTTCTCCCCAGTGCTGTGCAAGGAAATAAGAAATAAACATGGTATATAAAATATTTCGTGTTTCAGAGGGACTTGAAAGAATACTGAAATATGAAATGACGCTCAGAAAAATAAAAATTGCCAGCAAGAAAACTGTACGTCTAAGTTGCACATCACCATTCCCCAAGCTTTTTTACACCTCAGCACGGTTAATATTATTCTATCTAATAAGTCAAAAAAACTGTGCAGCACAACCATTGCTGTAAACAGAAATGATAGTTATAAACTAACGTTGTTCCCTACGCTCATATGTACGACGTGACGAAAGTGTTGAAGTACATTCGTTTTCTGCATCCAGAGCATGCACAACGATATCACTTGTATCGCGCAATCCAAAACACCGTTGTCCACAACCAAATGATGAAGTGCGTGATCTGAGAAAGCGAGAACATAACAATAAATCAAATAACTTTTCACTTATAATAGATGTGTGCTTGAACGTGTTTTTATACTTTTAACAAAATATGATAATTGTTACCACAATATTCGTCATCGGAATACTTTATTTAGCAAACCAAATTAGGCAAGCAAAACAGCAATATACCTTGAGGGACTGTCGACACTATGCAGCGAACCACTTGCTGATTTGCCGAGTGATAAACCACCACCACCGAAATCCAGTGGGACATGATCGCCTGTAGGATCGTTACCCATGTGACGTTTAGAATAAGAGGTTGAAAGTCCTGACCCTATGCTTCCTGATCGAACTGAAATTTACATCATAATTCAGAAAAACGAAAAAGTACAGAAAGTAAAATTACCATACAACTCCATGCTTAAAGAATGGAAAGCTCAATTATTAAAACTCAATAAACAGGTTGACACGAGACAATATCATCTCGATTTGTGCAAAGTTAAGAGTCGCATGTCTATGCTGAGCTTAATACAAATATTGACTTTTCCTTCACTACAATGAAGTGCCTGCTAAGTAAGCTAAGTTTAGTTAAGTAAACAAATAAAGATTTGTTATGATGCATCTTACTCTGATTTGATCACAAGCTACCATTCAGTACGATGTATAGCAGCAAAAACAAGAGAATAAAGCGTAAAGAAAAATACTATATCTTGTTTTGCTTCTAAAAAATGCAATGAACTAAGCGCAACTCACCGCGAGATATTGGATATGGATCAGGGGCGATGAATACTTGAGGTGTAGAGGGCATAAACGAAGAGTTTGGCGAATGAACAAGTGAAAGACCAGTTGAACTCGTTGATGATGTTTGGGATGTATTCGACAAACGATGTGCACGTGACATAAAGTCCCGAGATAGTTTTCGAAATGGCTTCCTGCAAATCAGATTATATTTTGTTCAAAATTTAACGGATAAACTTTTCTGAGCTAGTAAACATTTTATTTGCATCGATTGGCATATTTTTTGGAATTGACTATATACATACATATATTTGATACGTAATGCCAATTCCAGAAAAAAAAAAGTTATATATATATATATATATATATATATATATATATATATATATATATTATT